ACCTTACCCTGCGCAGGGGTGCTTAGGGCCACCAGTAACCACACGTGTGCAAGTGGTGTCTGACCTCCGTCTGTACAGTGCTAGTGAGAAGCTTCAGGCCAGTTTCTTTGTTCAAATGATCTAGGTATCTGCCGCGAGATGTTGCGGAGGTAGGTAGCTCATTATAGCTACCTTTTGAGGCAATGTAATCGGATGTCATCCGTGGGACCTCTCATTGGACCCTTGGTGCCTTCCATCTTCAAGAGCTCCTGCCGGTGCTGAATCGCGCAGGCGGCTCAAATGCTCGACTTCAATGTCCACTCCAGTGTTGCGGCTGCCCACGGATCACATGCCAAGTTCAAGTGTACTTTTCTCATTCCCCACGGTACTTGCACAATGTAGCGAGTAAAGACGAATTCAACAGTTGCGGGACGGGCGGGCTTTCTCAATCCAAACCAATCCAAATCAGCAGGAACCAAACCTAACCCGCCGGACTAGTGGGGCTGGTCGTACAGTGTAAGTGCGGCAGGTGCCTCCGTACCGTACCTTCCCAGTGCTTCCTCACAACGCTGCCTCCCATTGGAAACCTCCAGCTGCACCCTCAACCCTTGCCTGTGACGTTCTTTCCACGTCGTCCTTCTTCCCAACGTCTTGCCTCTTCGCCTGTCTTCTCTCCTCCTCTCTCCTCGCCTGAGCTCTTGCTCTTCTTGCATTGCTCCTGCTCGTTTCTCGCGCACACAAAAAGTCAACCTTGACACTGGCGGCTCATGGACAGCCTGAGCAACAGAATCATCATCGCACAACGCCCTTACCGACCCCCCTGCGTGTGAAAATAACCTAAACCCCTACATCGGCATCGTCGATTGCTACGCTGCTCCTGCCCTTGGCCTAGCATGAGCTCTTCCGCCGCGCCCCTCGCAAGTGATGTCGGCTCTCTGCGTCAGCGCCAGAGGCGGACGTCCGCGGCTGGCAACGGCGAGGATGGTCTAAACCCCTCAGCCGCCGCGGACGACCAGTCTGAAGACTCACTGCAAAAGCCCAACAAGACGTTTGGTCGAACTCCCGATGGCACAGGTGGGTTTCGCGGTGATGTGCTTTACTTGCTGTCGACTGACAATCGCCTAGTCTTCACCGTCCCCACCACGCACGACATGGTGTCGCAGCTGCTCGATCCGAGACAGCCCAAGAACCTCTCCGATTTGCTCGTCTTGGCCATTCTCGCCCTCCAGATTGTTGCGGCCTATTTTGTGCCCGGCAACCTGAAGCGTCCCTTGTTCGCGCTCGTCTTCCTCTTCTGGCGAGCCTCGTACAACATTGGCATTGGATACCTCCTCACCATCCAGTCCAACCACCGCAGGCTGGAGACGTGGGCCGCGAGATGGAAGCTCTTTGAGCACCCCTCGTCGGGAAAACAACCCCGCCCTTGGCTCTACAACATATTGAAGCGTGAGCTCGAGGCCAAGATCCCCGAGGACTACGAGTTTGAGAAAGCCCCCATGGAGTACAACACCTGGCTAGTCTTCCGCCGTGTCGTCGATCTGATCTTGATGTGTGACTTTGTCTCCTACTGCCTCTTTGCCGTGATCTGCGGTCGCACACCCGCCGGCGAGAACCCCTTTGTCGGTTTTGGACGATGGTCCATCGGCATCCTCTTGGTCCTCTTCAATCTCTGGGTCAAGCTGGACGCCCACCGCGTCGTCAAGGACTACGCTTGGTACTGGGGTGACTTTTTCTACCTCGTCGACCAGGAGCTGACCTTTGACGGCGTCTTTGAGATGGCCCCGCACCCCATGTACTCCATCGGCTACGCTGGCTACTACGGCATTTCCATGATGGCTGCGAGCTATGAGGTCCTCTTCATCTCAATCATTGCCCATCTCGCCCAGTTCGCCTTCCTCGTCGTTGTTGAGAACCCGCACATTGAGAAGACGTACAACCCGCCTGCCCCGCGTAAGCGCACTGCCTCGACGCCGCTTACCGGCCAGCCGGAGCTCGTCGCCATCAACGATGAAATTGTGGGTGACCAGGCTGCCACGGCCCAGGAGTCGTCGCCCGAAGCGCCCGCGCAGGTGCACAACCTGATCGGCTTGAACAACCTCGACCTATTCCGCATCACAGATACCTCGGTTCTGTTGCTCGGCTTCTACATGGCCGTCCTGACCATTGTGACCCCATCGACGTCGGTGTACCAAGTCCTGTTCTTACTGCACGCTCTGTTCTGGCGCGTGTGGTATCACCTCGGCCTGGGTGCCATCCTCGCGTGGCAGTCCCGCAATAAGTTCTGGACGAGACATTTCCTCAAGTACGGCGAGAGCCACACTGAGGCATGGAATCAGTGGAAGGGCATGTACCATTTGAGCTCTGTCATGTGCACGGGATCCTTCATCGCCGCGTGCTGGAAGATGTACTCGCCGCCAGAGGACTGGGCGTACGGCTGGGTCCTCCTCAAGCACGTGGTCGGAGCCGGCCTCGTCTCCCTCCAGGTCTGGACATTCATCAGCGTGTACGACTCCCTCGGCGAGTTTGGCTGGTTCTACGGTGACTTCTTTTACGACTCCACCGCCAGGCTGACATACAAGTCCATCTACCGCTTCCTCAACAACCCCGAGCGCATCTTTGGCACTGCTGGCCTCTGGGGCTCTGCCCTCATTACGTGGAGCAGAGCCATCTTCGTCATGGCTCTCGTCAGCCAGCTGTTTACGTTGGGCTTCATCAACTTTATTGAGAAGCCGCACATGCAAAAGACGTATGGTCGCGGCATTCGTCAAGAGGCCGGCCTGACCAAGTTTATCAAACGTTCGCTGCCACCGCCCGTCCAGGGCTGGCAACGCGGTGTCGACAAGGTGATTGACGACACGGCACAGTTCATTGAGGAGTTCCTCGATACCGCGCGCCCCAAGTTCGCTTCCGGCATCAAGACGATCGTCCGCGACACCTCGGCCCTGTTCAACAAGTACCCGGCTCGTCTGACCGTCACACGCCTGTCTCCGGATCTCGCTGGGCTAGACCCTAAGCTCTACTCCCTCTCCGTAGAAGGCACCCCCTCAAGCCTATCAGCCGCCAATGAGCGTGCCACGGGCAAGGAGGGTCTGACGGCCCGATTCCAACGCGGTGTCGAGACCATGATCTTTGAATATGGCGCCCCTTTGAAAGTTAAGTGGCGCGCTCCCGCAAAGCACGACAGCAAGGACTGGATTGGTCTCTACATGGTTACCGATAACCGCTCCAGAGAAGCGACAGAGGTGCCGTCCCTAGGCCGGTGGGTGCCTACGACTCCCGGCAGCTATGATGCGGCCACCGCCGACAAGGCCATCTTGATCCCCGATCGACCGGCTCAAAAGCAGGACGCGTCGGATCCCGACATTGTCGAGGGCGAGGTCATCTTTGAGGGCGATCGGCTGTGGTGGACTCAGGGCGTCTTTGAGTTCCGGTACCACCATGCTGGCAACCACCACGTCATGACCATCTCGCAGCCCTTTGAGATCCGCATCGGCAAATTCGATGAGGACGATGTCGAGGTTGACGCCAACGGCATGTACGAAAAGGCCGTCGAGCAAGCCTTGCTGCCTCTTGTGCAAAACTGCTGTGACCGTGACCACGACATTGCGCCCACCACCGTTGACGAGCCCTTTGGCGGCCACGTCGAGCGCGATGGCAAGTATGCCAAGAGAATCGTCTACGCCATCCACCAAATGTTTGGTATCGAATTCGCCCCCGCCATCGTGCCCGCCGACGGCAACGTCAGAAAGATGGCCTGGCGAATCTGCAATGCCAAGCAGGTTCTAGTAAGTTACTCGTGCTTGTCCATATGACACAAACTGACGTTCAATAGGCACCCTACAGTCTGTCTCACTCCAAGGGGAACAGCACTCCTACAACTTTTGAGAAGGCCTAAGCATCATGCGTTAGGCCTTACGCTCGTGATCTGCAATCGTACTGGAACATTAGGAGGGAAAAGTTGGCGCACACATTCAGATTGATGACTTGGTATTATGCACGTCGGTTTACCTTGGCCCGAGAGGCGACCGATGCCCGGCGCAACGAACAGGAATCGAGGATGGGAAACAAGAGCGTGTGGATGGGCGTCCGTGAGTTACCTTAGCCTGAGAAAGAGAAAAATAACAGTGACCGCGCTGCAGCGATTTGTTTTCGCAACACTTTTTTGGTACGCAAAGATTGACAGTCTCACGGCACAGCAAGTAGGAGAGCCCCCGCGAGAGACACGGCACGGAAGGACGGCCTGGCATTCCTGGTGCACACGGTCCCGAGGTGAGTCGTGCATAACCACCCGCAAGATGACCCTCTCTCGCAGATTCGATTGGCTTGGACTTTAGGCAAAGAAGAGGCGGTACCGGCGTTGGGATGGTTGAGTATGGAGACAATGCTACGCCCCCCGCATGAAGCTATAGTAAGCTATAGTCTGGGCTCTTGCGGTACTTGGTATCACTCCGAGGGGAGACCTGGAGCATTGTTTGCTCAGTCCGTAATGTCCACGCCGTCTTGGTACAGCGCCCATGTGTGCCAAAGAGTCAAGATTTGAAGTGATCATGACCCAGGATGGAGAGCTCGCACGTCGTCAGGCTCGTTTTAACGCATTCTGATGGCTGTCGATATACCTCGTGCGGCATGCGAGTGTTCGTCCCTGTAAATCCAGGCACCGTGTGGTGCACATGGCCCGGCACATGGCAGACCTAGACATGCAGAATAAGAGTAAGCTTCTGTGTGACGACGATCCCGCAGTTCACAAACGGCAAGCCGGAGGCAACGCTAGAAGAAGACAAGGTTGGCCGTGGCTTGCATCGGAGTGCGGGGGAGGCCACATGGCACATCATGATGCGAGCTTGCCATTCTGGCCAGTTGAAATCCGACAAGAAGGTGATTGGCGAAGCGTCACTCTCGAGGTTCGATGCAGAGGCGCACGGCCGTTTGACTGCCGGGCGGCTCGGTCGGATGGCAGACGAGGGGTTTGACTTTTTGGTGATGTATCCGTGATTCGAGTGATGCCACACTCGACCAAGACCTCACTGGGCGCCGGCATCGTCCCGTGCCTGTGGTGGTCAGTGTTCACCGTCTCCCGTGCTGGGGACGGCATCATAAATTACCGCAAATTGGGAAATTTCTCAGAACCCCACGAACAAGAGAGAAAACCCACACGAAATCAACAAGCGGCGCCGATTGGGCCGACTGCATCTCCGTGGTTCCCCCTCACCTCTCCGCCTCCTCCAGTCCTTTTGGGCTCCTCCTCCTCTTTTCTCCACATTCTCCGCATCGGCACACGAGTGGAAGTCAAAGTAACCTTCTCCACCTCGAACTCGACACCCTTTTTCTCAGAGTTTGTGTGACACGAACATTTGCCATCCAAAGACGAGGTGCGGTTCGTCGAGTTGTGTGCTGCGGGAAGCTGTCTGGTCCTTCTGTGGCATACTGCCGGTACGCTGTACAGGAACAGAAAGGGGCGGTTGTCTCGAGGTACTCAACCTGAATCTCCCAGACAAACTCTATCATCGAACCAGACGAAAATACCGTGAACTACCCCTGGCCGGACGTTTTCATTACAGGGGAAGCCCATCACCTTGCTAACGTCGCTTCAGGGTTGAGCCTGTCTTCTGGAAAGTGTCCGCACCGCACTCCGACTACTCCGCCGTAGTGTCCGTACGCTGTGAAGTCTGTATTCTGTAGGCATTAAGGTTAGCCACAGAAGCACGGAAGAATCCCGTTCGCCGTCCCAAACAGGCAACCGGGTCCCGTTTCGAAGTCCAGGTCCCGGCTTTACCAAGGCAGTGAGCGCATGACCAGGGAATCAAGGTCTACGGGCGACAATCGTTGACACATTCAGAGGAGACTCCGTCCTTGCCCCTGGGACCTTGAGGGGTCTTACGCGAAAATGGGCCGTCTTCGCTCCTCGAGTTCAAGACCTCGTCGTCGTCGTCCTTTTCTTCTCCGTCCCGTGCTCGCACTCGTCACCGTCGTCACACTCGTTCCGTGCCTCGTTCTCACCGTGCAGCTGTTTTGCCAACACAGACATTCGTTCGTCGTCCAGTATTTGCCCAGCATGTTGCGAGACCTCTTTGCGCCGGCCGGCCTCGTGCCGCTGCTGCTCTCCTCTCCGGCGGCCGCCACCCTCCTCTACGCCTCATCGTACAGCGGCGCCATCACCACCCTGAACCTCACTCTGTCGGGCGCAAACGCCACGCAGTCCACCCTGCAGTCGCTCTCCTCTTCCAACGGCTGCGCGCCCAGCCCATCGTGGCTCCAGCTCGACAAGGCCAACGCGAGGCTGTTTTGCACGGATGAGGGTCTTACAACCAATGTCGGCACCGTCTCGTCCTTCAAGACCGGCGCCGACGGTGTGCTGGAGCAGCTGGCCAAGACGGAGACCATCAGCGGTCCCGTGAGCGCCGTTGTCTTTGGCGAAAAGGGCCAAGGCCTCGCCATCGCTCAGTAGTATGTCTTGATGTTTGTTGACGACGAGCACGAGCTAACTTTTGCCAGCGGCGGCTCCTCTGTGAGCTGGTTCGACATCTCCAACCCGGCGGCCCTCACGCCCGTCAAGTCCGAGACGTTCAACATGTCGGCTCCCGGCCCCAACCCGTCGCGCCAGGACGCCCCGCACCCGCACGAGGTCTTCCTGGACCCCAAGGGCCAGTTCGTCCTGGTTCCCGACCTGGGCGCCGACCTCGTCCGCGTTTTTGCCGTTGACGGCGCCAACAACCTCGTCGCCGTCGACTCCCTCGTCGCCGCCCCCGGCAGCGGACCCCGCCACGTCGAGTTCCTCGTCACCCCCGAGGGCAAGACGTACCTGTACCTCATTAGCGAGCTTGCCAACACCGTCACCGCATACGACGTCGCCTACCGCGAGAACAAGACGCTCGGCTTCACCGAGGTGTTTTCCGGTTCCACCTACGGAGCTGGTGCCTCTGCGCCTGCCGGTGCCAGCGCCGCCGAGATTTGGATTTCTGTGAGTCAACGTTCTTCTCTATGAAGTCTCAATACATACTAACAAAACAGTCCGACGGCAAGTTCTTGACCGTCTCGTCGCGCAACGATTCGGCTTTCAGCATCAGCAACCCCGACACTCCCGGCGAGGGCGCGCAGATCCCCTCCGACTCCCTCAACACCTTCACCATTGACGCCAAGACGGGTGGTCTTACGCTGCTGCAAAAGTTTCCCGCCGGTGGACGCATCCCGCGCCAGTTCTCCGTCAGCAAGGCGGGCGACCTCGTAGCCGTTGGTCTGCAGTCCGACAGCCGTGTTGTTGTGATTAGCCGTGATGCCGCGTCGGGCAAGCTGGGAGAGATTCTCACGAGCGCCAAGGTTGATGGCGAAGTGACTGCCGTTATTTTTGATGAGTAGGCGTTTAGCATGAGCGTAGCGGCATGAAACAACTTGCATCTCCTTGAATTGTATACCACGAGTAGATGTTAGATACCAACGAAATCAAAATCTGGTGTATAGGCAGTCTGGGCCCGTACTGACCTCAATGACATGTTGGACATTTCGAGACCCACGATACAGGAATCATACACCCGAAAACTCTCACTCGCTTATGCGCGTCGTGAATCATAAACGCCCCTTGGCTACGTAGGAAGGTCAGCAACCCGAGTTGGGAAGATGACGGGCTCCTAATCCGGTAACCGAGGGGCGGCTCGCGAGCAAGCCAACGTGCTTGAAGTGGCTGACCCCGTTCGACTAAAGCTCGGATCCCCGGGCGGGCCATCGTCTGCAGGCCTGGGTCAGAAGGGAACCCGAAAGGCGGGCGGGAAGATAGATACCTGGTCCATGTGAGGCTGCGCGTTCTGATGCGCACGTCAACTTACAAGACCAGAGTCGCGGGAGCTGAGTGATAACACAACATTGAAAGTCACACTTGGATGAGTGCCGACGCAATGTAACAGCGCAGCCGAATGGAATTCTCCAGACCGACACTTGAGGCAACGCGAGTGCATATTCGACCTACTTATGGCGGACGCAAGGAATACGATTGGTTCTTTTTTGTAGAAGCTGAGGATTTTGATGTCGTACTCTCAGAAGTCTAAGGTTAATAGTAGAATACTCGGTTTCAACTCCAGATTCCACGAAGAAGGTACCCGTCCGCGGCTGGCATTTCGAGTGACGGAACAGAGTCATCGATAAAGTCTGGTTCGATACGACCGTGATCCTGGGGTTGTCAACCGGTATACACTCAAGAAAGGTTCCGACAGACACGGCAGAGGAATGCTGCTTCTTGGCCTGGTCGGTCGACATGCAGCAAAACTACAGAGTGTCAAAGTCTGGTAACGAATTAGAATCCCGGAAGCGGGTAGTCGGGAGGGACTTACAGTGTGGGGCATCCATCGCCATGTGTGGTGTGCCAGGGAAACGGCCGGCCGTTCGCCCGTCCGACCCCGGATTCTCTCCCGGGGATGAACTCGCGAGATGGGAAGATATGCCTAGGTAGATTGCGGACCGTCGTGATGAATCTTGGTCGAAGTGAGTGATTCGTAAGTCGATTTCTTTTTCCTTTTGGGGTACCGTCGTAAATCTCTCGTGAAGAATCAGCTACTCAGCGACATCAACTGCTCATGAACCCTGGCCTTGGACGCATGAGAGCGAGGCGGGAGCTCGTCAATCTTGTTTGGAGAAGCGTCCCGATTTGGGTGTTGGAGGGGTGGTGGTTAATCTACGTTCCGGCGGTTCTCGCCCACCACCCCTCATGACCTGGCTGGCGTTGTAGGATCCTCTGTTGAGCACCATGACAGGGTCTTGCTAACATGGCGAGACAATCTCTCGCAGCCCCATCTTTTGACAGCGGCACAGCTGGTGTTGTCTAGATTGGGCCCGAGGGATTTCTAGAACCTGGAGGTGTTAGTCGAGCTTGGTAGAGTGGCGGGAGCGAAATGAAGTTGACAGGGATGCTGCCACCTGCTTGGACAAAGTCTCGTCAAAGTGTACGAATAACCGTGAGCGTGACGAAGGGAGTCGACATGCAGGTACAGGCAGAGAGGGGAGACTGGGGCCACACAAGAACACCGGCAGACAACGGGAGAGACTCGGGATTGGGCTTCATTCGTTATGGAGTTGTGGCCATGGATAATGGAACGAGGTTGCAACGTGAAGTGTGTAAAATTACGAGGGAGGTTCGAAATGCCCACTGGCCTTAGTAAGCCAGGTATCTTGTATCCGTACTTATAGAATCTTAACTTGCAGACGAGAGGAAGGAGATACCCTCAATGACTCCAAAGAAGGCAGGAAGGCACTTTCCCGTTTCCCCCGCCCTGGGGAGCACTTGCCTCAGGTCAAACACTCAAGGTACTTTATTGATGTAGTCGTGGCCCCTCCCCCAGATTGGCAGGGCCGATCGACACTGAGGGCCCTTTCCCCATGAATGCCGTAAACTCGGAACGGAATTAAGGCACGGATCAATACTTTTGGTACCAACGACATCAAATTAACCCAATGTACCTGCGGTAAGGCATGAGGTTGTCAACGCAAAGAACACATGTCTCTCAACACCCACGATGGACAAACATGGACAAACCGGCAGCACACCAAGATGCTTCTTCCGCGCTACCTCACTGTGTAGGTATAAGCGACGGCCCCTCTGCTTAGCGTGCGCCGGTGACCCTTGTTCCCCATCTCATCCTCTCCCCGAATCCCATCCCATCCCATGCCCGTTTCGTCCCATGCCCGTTGCAACCGTCGGCTCTGGTTGGCCTGGCCTGGCCTGATGTCTGCCGCTGCGGGATGGGGTAACTGTCACGACGCACCAATCCGATGGATTCTCGCTCCAACGACTCCAAGCCGGGGTCCGGGGCAAAGGGGGATGAAGCTGGCCTAGAGCTCCCCTCTGCTCACCTGCGGGCACTCAGACGAGTGTCTCTTTTTACCCTCAACAGCGACTTGCTGCCCATCCTTGGCCATCCGACACCAACAACGCCATAGGATTGCTTCCTCCGCATTTTAATCCCCCCCCCCCCCTCCTCCGCCTCGGTGATTCTCCCATAATTACTGCTCCACAGCCGTGCATTCGTCTCTTCTCGCCTTCTCTGTTCCGTCGTCTGCTCCCTTCTCCTACGGCACCTCCAAAGAAGTTGTGAAACACCGCGATACCTTCGAGCCTGGTCTGACTGACACCTTTCGCCTCGAGTCACGCACCCCCCGTTCAGCCGAACCTAATCGCATCGGTCCGGTCTTTGTCGATTGCAGCCTCGCAAACCGCCAGTGCATCGAAACTATTTAGCCACCAAGCCCCCCCAAGTCGCCGCTTCACTCATCCATCCACCCCCGCCTGAGCTGCGTTATCGCGGCGCACCACCATCTGCCCACCACGTCTTCCACCAAGCTTCTTCGTCTCCAGACGCAGCACGCCATGTCCCCGTCGTCGACGGGTGACTCCCCGCGCTCGGCCACGGGCAACGGCAACGCGGGGAGGTCTTTTCCCGTCCCGTCGCGCGAGGCCTTCAACGTCGACGTTCCCTCACCTTCCATGACCAACGGCATCCACCCTCTCAAGTCACCCGCCTCGCTCAAGGTGCAAAGGACGCCCAGTTTCAGCAGAGATGGCTTCCTAGGTTCCGTGCAAAAAGCCCGGAACATGTCTCAGTCCTCCGAGAACCGTCCCGATGCTCTGACCAATGGCATGCACAAGGCGCCCAGCGACGAGGGGTCCAACCCGCTAAAGAGGA